AGCGCTCCGCCACTTTCCGTTTACTATTTCCTTTATTGCACTTCAAGATTAGACAAAAAATAAACCTTTTGCAGCGGTGCCCCAGCCCCAAAGTGCAAAGTTTCGCCCTCCCACCCCCACCCCCTTCCCGGCCCTGATATGTGTCCAGAGGGCCCGGATGCCTGGGTCCCTCAGCCAGCTCGGGGACCTCCCTGCCCCAAACCTGGGCGGGAGGGAGGGAGCGGGAGCCCCGCTTGCTCCAAAAAGCCCCAAAACGGCCCAAATTGGCCTTGGGGCTGAGGCAGGGCAGGCGGGAGGGGAGGGGGACGCACCGCGGGGACGGGGCCATCATCATCGAGGTGCCATCATCCCCGGGGTGCCATCGTCCCTGGGGCACCATCGTCATCGGGGTGCCACCATCGTGAGGGTGCCATCCTCATCAGGGTGCCACCGCCATCGGGGTGCTGTTGCCATCGGGGTGACATGGCCCCTGGGGTGTCCCTGAGGCCACAGGGCATCATCGCCATCAGGGTGTCATTGTCCCCTAGGGTGTCACTGCCATCCGGTGGTGCCATCATCTCCACGGTGTCCCCGAGGGCATGGGGGGCCATCGTTGTCGGGGTACCATCATCCCCAGGATGCCATTGTCATTGGGGTGCCATCGTCACTGGGGTATCCCCAGGTCACCCCCGAGGCCGCAGGGCCTCACCCTCCCCGGAGTGCCATCGTCATCAGGGGCATCCCCATCCCCGGGCCACCCCCAAGGCCACAGGGTGCCCCATCCTTGGCGGCGTTCCCGTCCCCGGGATGTCCCAAGGCTGCAGGCTGCTTCTGTCCCTGGGGTGCCCCCATCCCCAAGGCAGCCCCATCCCTGGGGATGTCCCCGAGGCCATGGGGCGTCCCCATCCCTAGAGTGTCCCCAAGGCTGTGGGGCGTCCCCATCCCCGGGGCATCTGCATCCCTGGAGCATCTCCAACACCACGAGGTGCCACTGTCCCCAGGGTGTCCCCGTCCCTGGCGGTGTCCCCGAGGCCATGGGGCGTCTCCATCTCTGGAGCATCTCCGAGGCTGTGGGGCGTCCCTGTCCCCAGGGCGGCCCTGTCCCTGGGGCATCCTGGAGGCCGTGGGGCATCTCCATCCCTGGAACATCTCCAAGGCCACAGGCTGCTGCTGTCCCTGGGGTGTCTCTGTCCCTGGGGCATCCCCAAGGCTGTGGGGCATTCCCATCTCCAGGACATCCCCATCCCCAGGACATCCCCATCCCTAGAGCATCTCCAAGGCCGTGGGGCATCACCGTCCCCAGGGCATCCTCATCCCCGGAGCATCCCCGAGGCCATGGGGTGTCCCCATCCCCAGAGCATCCCCAAGGTGGTGGGGCGTCCCCATCTCCAGGACATCCCCATCCCCAGGACATCCCCATCCCTAGAGCATCTCCAAGGCCGTGGGGCATCACCGTCCCCAGGGCATCCTCATCCCTGGAGCATCCCCGAGGCCATGGGACGTCCCCGTCCCCGGAGCATCCCCGAGGCGGTGGGGGCGTCCCCGTCCCCCCGGGAGGACTGGGGG